CCCCAAAACCCCAAAACCCCAAAACCCCAAAACCCCTAGGCTAAAATTTCAAATTGTAACCTTCAGTTCAAATTTTGACGATCCTTAAGTTTTACTGTATTTGAATTTTTGTACTAAAAATCATAGACTCATGACTAATTCTGATCAGGGTCTTCTCTTAATACCCTCTTGAACGATGGGTACGAGTACAAAGGAAATTCTGGCTCCATTGTAATCGCTCTCTTGGTTCCACAGTTGACACTCTTTAAAGGGTTAAAGCTATTTGGATGAAAAGTAATATTATGTAAGAAGAGATGATTGAAGAAAGCAAATTACTTTGAATGGATCAGGTATTTCTCCAGTAGCTTCAAATTTATTCATTTTTGTGTAAAATGATGAGAGTGTCTTCTTTAGGAATTCCATTGTAAAGCATCTTTTCTGCCATGATTTACACCATGATGAGCGGAATTTTACTAGGTTTTCATATCTAGAGTCTTGTAGAACAACTGCTCCATAATCATTTTTGTGTCTGATTACTCGTCCAATAGCTTGATTGATAGCCCTTTGAGCATCAGTTTGATACCACTTATCCCCATCAAGAGTGAAGGTGCCTTCTGAGCTTTGCGAATTTCTCATGAACTTCACTTTCATATCAAGATACTTCTTTTTCCCTTGAACTTTAGAATCACGGAGATAAGCATATGGGATGCCTACTACAATTGCAAGTCTGGATGCTTTGTCAGGGAGATCAATTCCTTCAGAGATCTTACCTCTACAAACACAGACTAGTGTGACATTTTGATCCTCTTCAAGCAACTGATAAAATGCTTTTCTTATTTTGTTTAACTCAGATGTTTCTCTTGGCTCAATTAGAAGGATTCTACTCTTCTCATCCGAATTGATTGAGTAACAATCAACCGCCTCACCAGTGATAATAAGTTTTCTACGTGTTAGATCAATCTTACTCTTCACGAAGCAACATTCTCTTCCACTTTCAAAAATTGAGGTAGGATCCCATCACTGAGTATGAGGGGAAGAAGGCCAAAGACCCGCCTTCTGATTGAAGTAGAGTCTCATTTACTGTCTTTGCTAAAATGATCAGCTCTAAAACTACCAAGATCCTCAATGACCTTCTTCTTGGCTCTGTTTATCTATAAAAATGGTCTATATGCTTACATAGTTTAGTTTTAGTTGATCACCGCTGATTCCGTTTTTCATTGCTATCAGGCACATTTGTTGTCGATCTAGATATAAAATGCTGATGTTACCGATCACATGTGGACTTCTGAAAGTTATGGGGAATTCAACTCCTAGCTCTGAGCTGTACTCGTCAAATGGATATAGAGTTCCTGAGATTAGGATCAAGCTTCTAGGCTGTTCCTGTTGTAACTTTTTAGCAAGATATTCAGGAGACAGTCACTCAAATTTTAGGATATTTTCAAACTCCCGGTCTTTAGGGAGAGTCTCGTCCAACTCAAATTTTTCTTTCGGGATCTTTTGTTCAGACACTCATATTTGAAACTGATTGAAAAGAAGCTTTGCCTCTTCTTCAACACTAGTCTGAGAATGTTTAGATCTATAAGAAATATCTCAATAAATTTCTATGATTTGAACCAGACTGTCACAGAGAATGTCTGATAAATTTGATATTAAACGGAGGAGAGCACTAGTCCTGGAAAGAGTGCTGAGCCAATCTTCAAGGTTACTATATTGTTATAAGAGCAGTTACTCTTGATTTATATAAGGGAATGATGCTCCTGCTATAATTCATCAACTACTTACTTCCCTCCAGTCCATTGGATCCAATCTTTGTTATGATGTATCTTTGATAGACTTGGTTCAAAAGTAGCGGCAACTAAAATTCAAATCTAAAAATCTCACTTTCTCAAATTCAAGCATTTTAGCATCAGTGTAATCTTGAACTTGAAAAACATCCCATAATCTATGTTTTAACGGCACCTGGATCGCCTCTAAGAAGCTCTCTACTAGATGGATTCAGTCCCAGATCTCCTGCTTTGAGAGGCCAATCTCTTGTATTTTCCGTCTTAATTTTCTTTGTTTATTTATTAAGTCGTGACTCTTCTTGTTTCTTGAGCTTTGCCAATTTGTATGGAATGAACTTGATTTGTTTGAGCATTTCTTTTAGGACATCTCTATCCAACTCTACTGTGGCATTACTTTCGCAGGCTGGACCAAAATTATGAGCTTCATCAACTATCACAATCGAATCTTGAAGAGAGACTTCCATATGCTTGCGTATTCTTGGGTTTATGATATAGTTATATGGCATTGTCACTAAGTTTGCTGTCTTTGCCTTTTCCTTCTGCAAGTAATAAGGGCAGATTGAATGCAATTTTCCGTGTTCAACTATATCCTCGATATCCATTATTTCTCCTTTGTCTTTCTTCCAATAATGATTCTTGAACTCTTTCAAGTTTTGATAATAGTATCAAGTCGGGTGTTTTATAGCTTGTTCAGTCTCTCTTTGCGATACGGCTTTATTCTTTTCCTCTTCATCTCTTTCGCTTTCTTCCTCCTCTTCTCCTTCTTCTTCAGATTCATCTTTATTATGACTTCTGAGGATCTTTCAAAGTCTGTCAACTCCATGTTTATAGTTCAGAGCTTCTTCATTAATTCAAAGATATTTTCTTGAGGCAAGAGAGGCTGTTCTTGGAGAGTATCCACATCTCTTTACCTCTTTGATAACTTGGTCTAGTTGAGAGTGAGTTCTAGAACTGAAGATTATCTGTGAAATTGGTCTCTCAGGTTCATATCCTATTTCAATCTTTCTATCATAATTAGAAGTCGTTGTTCCCTCTTCATTCAAATTTTTCTGATAAGCCAAAGCTGATCAAATGGAGCTTAGTGTTTTGCCAGTTCCTGTAGGAGACTCAAGCATTGCATTCTTCTTTGTTTCAACTGCTTTTATCAGCCTTTGCATATAATTCTTCTGTATACCATAAGGCTCGAACGGGAACTTGACCTTAATTCCTCCGATCTCAAAACTCATATTTTAATTTTAAAAAAATTCTCACTCAGTATTTGTTCCTAAGGATGGGGTTTTGGGGTTTTGGGGTTTTGGGGTTTTGGGGTTTTGGGG